TTTGAAAATATTATCTCTAACCATCTCCAATGCTTAAACCAGCATGCATTAGAAAATGCCATTGTCCAAGAATAAGAACCATAACCAATGGTTTGAGCCATTGACTGCAAACATGAAAGAAGTCTAAAGCTAATTGCACTACTCATGCAAATGCATATTAGTATTTTTAAGTTTCGACGCTGTGTTTGAATAGATGTTTGAATTCCGTAATATAACACAGCGAACCAAGTTCTTACTGCAACAAGACAGGGAGTGGGAATGTAGGTCCCTTCCTACTGTAGAATAGGGATTTGAATAAGCTACTTCTGGCTGTATAGCATCCGAGATTCAAGAGAACATATGTGAGTATCATTCAATGTAGAAAAAGTTTTAAAATCCAATCGAGAGGCCAATTTGAAGATAGAAAGATCACTATCAGTTTCAATTCTTGAGAGAAACAAAACTATAAAGGAAAATCTTATACCCACAATGACAAGTATTCATGGGGAAAAAAACAAAAGAAGCACATTATATTTGATTTACATTGTCTACAACTCAAATATTTCGGAAACTCCAACTGTAGAAGCATCTTTAACAACTATTCTTAAAATTAGATTTTTTTTAAAAAAAAAAAGAACTAAGATCTACTAACAGACAAGGAAAAGACTCGAACATTAACCAAATTGCTCACTCCCTTGCCAAAGAACTGGTGATCCATGCCTACTTCATTGCAAAACAACAATAAACAATAATCAATATATGGATAAAATTATGTAAAAACTGTACCTGACTAGCATTGAGTGCATTTTGCTGCGAAAGATGCTGCCTCATTTGGGCTGCCGTCATCCTTTGCTGAGTGTAAGGAAGTGTTCCATTTCCTCTAAGTTGCGAGCTCAAATTGAGAGAACCCATCATTCCCATTGCTTGCAAGGACTGTCCAGCAGAATTCCCTGAATGGAATTGAGTCCCTTGCATGAAGTTCGTCTTCTGCCTTGGCTGCAACCAAAATAGCACCTCATTGAAAAAAACTATACTGGATAACTTATTCTTTATTTAGGAAATAAGAAAAATAAACGAAAAAATTTCACAACCCCACGACTTCATAATTATTAATATAAGATAGTTACAGACAGAAAAATTATTTATACCTAAAACCAACATGATTGTCATACCAGACCAGCCTTAGCTGTCAATGGCCATTGGCCACAGATACCTTTAATATGAGGCACAGCACGGCATCACAGACACAGAAGAAACTAAGTTGAGTAACAAAAGTGCAGACATTACCACGATCCACGTAGTAATTTTATTGAATAAAAAATTAAAAACTGCACTCCTCCTCTACAAATCAAATTCCAAGATCACCAACTAACAAAGATGTTAAAATATGGCATCATTCCGATAATGGATACATAGTGGACACACCGAGATCATAATTTCCAAGGCAAATACGGATCACAACTTTGTAACTCACACCACAATCAAATAATGGAATGTAATTTAAAACTTCAACAATGCAAAAGGATCGCACTTTCAAAGATGACAAACCATGGCTGATGTTATTTATGGGATTTCACAACAAAGTAAAAACTAAATCATAATGTAGACATGCAAAGACCAATTCTTTTCCTAGAGACCCATAAAGCACTCGTTTATCCTACTCCATACCGAGGTCAAAAACTGATTTTGCATATTAAACTGGGCTGCAGCTGCTGCTGCCCCTTGACCAGATAACATTGGTAAATGCCCTGTCTGTCCCATCAATGCAGAATGCGACAAATTCCCACTGCTTATCTGCCCCATTTGCTGCTGTGACAACTGATTCTGCTGCCCAGTTTGCTGTGATAACTGACCCTGCAGCCCGATTTGCTGTGATAACTGCGCCTGCTGCCCGAGTTGCTGTGATAACTGTCCTTGCTGCCCGATTTGCTGATGCAGTTGATTTTGCTGCTCAATTTGCGGTTGCAGTTGATTTTGCTGCCCTATTTGCGGCTGCAGTTGATTTTGCTGCCCGATTTGTTGCTGTGGCTGACCGTTACTCGAATTACTGATACTAATACTATTATTCTGTTGCTGAGGTTGTTGCTGCATTGCACTCATTCCACTAAAATTCATCTGCCCATAAATTCCCGAATTCGGCTGCTGTTGCTGCTGCTGCTGCCTCACTAAGCCTAACTGATTGTTGATACTAACATTACTGCTATTCTGCATTTTATTCAGCCTGGACATAGAAGAATTCCTCTGCAAACCCTGGTGAAAATTTGAAATTCCCATCAAATTATTACCGTTGGCACTGTTATTCATGTTGCTGTTGCCATTCGATTGTTGCTGCAACTGCTGCTGGAGCTGCTGCAACTGCTGCTGCTGCGGTTGTACCATCTGCTGCTGGGACTGCACCATCTGCGGCTGTTGCTGTTGCACCAGCTGCTGCTGCTGCGACTGTACCAACTGCTGCTGCTGCTGCTGCTGCTGCTGCTCGAGCGACGGGGAAGGGGACCGCATGGTCTGTAACTGCTGGGAATTTGAGGGTTCGATTGCGCCTGAGTTTTGCTGTAAGGGCAGGGGTTTTTGTGGGGAAGATGAAGACGCCGGATTTTCCGCCATTGTTTGTGAATAGCTTTCCGCGGAGCTCAATTTTTCTTCGTCCCCGTTGATCGATTGATTGATCGCTGGGTACTGAAATTTAATCCATGGTTTGAGGATTTCCTGTTCTTTCTTCTTCGTAATTTCGAATTTTAGGGCACGATCGAAGAAATAGAAATGCAGAGGAATATTCTGATTCTAGAGAGAGAATTTTTAATTGGATAAGAACGAACTGGAGATAATTGGAGCGGAGGAACAAGAGAGAACAAATTCCTCACAAGTTTGTTTGGCAATTTTTTTATTTTTATTTTTTCTTTTGGTTCATCAATCAAGTTTACAAATTACAAATTCTCAAATTTGAATGCTCCATTAGACTTAATTAAATCCGAGATATAATTATGCAGAAATAACTGAAAAAACAAAATAATCAATGAATTATATGATATACTCACATTTTATTGTTGGTTACGATTATGAAACTACCAAATTACATTTTTAGTTTTGTTAGTTTACTATGTGTCGATGAGTGTTTTCGATCAAAAGGTAATTAGAATTTAAAAAGTGTTCTGAATTGGATTTTTGGATGATTAGTTAGGGTTGATATATATATTTGTCGTGGGAAGAATCGGACGAAAAGAAATGGAGAATAATGCGAGAATTTGATAGTGTAATAGCGGCCTAGGTCGGCCAATAGTATTATAGTCCAGACTAATGGTTCCATTAGTGTTTATGACAAGAGTATATATCTCGTGTAATTTTTCATCTCCGTTTTTGGATTTGATACAAAAATATTTCTAATAAATGTAGCCCGGAAACTGTTCATCGGGTCGTACAGCGCACATGTAATTGATTGGATATGCGCATTTAATATGTCATGCTGCCCTACGAGTCTAGGACTGGTTGGTCGACGGGTTAGTCGACGGAAATGTGATTTCCCATCATTATGCTGCAAGTTGCCTTTATTTTATTGCCTTCTGCTTGGCCTGTCATTCCAGCTCGGATCAATGTCCATGTCTTGGTTGTTGCCTCGCCGCTTCTTGCGACTCAATTCTTTTATATCCGGTGGTCGGTCTGTGGACCCAACTCAGCTTACTGGATTCGAGCTATCTTTTCTCTCCCTAGTGGGCCCGCTTTTCAACTCGGAGGTCAACAACATCATAACAATTTTAGTCCCAAAATTCTAAGATTTCGCCTTTTGGTTTTGTGATTTAATCTTTTGCTGTAATTTCAATACTTTGAGCATTAAAATTGCAATAAATTCTGAAATTTATAATTTTTTTTAGCAATTTAATCTTATAATTTAAATTTTGTTGCAATTTCATTCATGTTATTTAAAATTTTGTTGCAATTTTAGTCCTCAAATGATTGAATTGTAGCAAAATATTAAGGATTGAAATTGCATAAAGAGATTAAATCATATGACAAAAAGGTGAAAAGTTAGAGCTTTAGTACTAAAATTGCTATGACATTAAACCAATGTGACTAAATATACATTTTTGCCTATAAATAATCATATTAGCCCCTTCCCTTCATTATATGTGTGTATGTGTGTGTGTGTTGACATCCTATAAAGCACATACACTTTTGTGAGATCGAAGTATTCGAACCAGACAATATCTTATTTGTTGAAGTTATTAATAATATGTTACTTATAAAATGGTTTGTTTAGTAATTATTAATTTTTAAAAAAAATATAATTAGTATTCTAATATAAGTTTAGAAGATTGTATAATTTTATTTATTAATTACTTTGTATAATTATATAATCAAAAAATAAAATTATATGAATTTATTATATTGATTTTTTAATCAAAAAGTGGAATTTTTTAATGTAGAAAATAATTTCACTAGATAATAAATTATAATTTATAATATAATATTTTTTAAGTTCTGTCATAATATTAATAAATTCTAATTTATAAGAAAATCAATTCCAATTTGTAACATAAGAAGTTATAAGTTTTAACATAATAATAATAATAATAAATTAAAATTTACATAATAATTTCTAAATTTTAACATAATTTCTATTATAAATAAAAATTTTATAAGTAAATAAAAAAATAGCCGGCCAAAAATTGCGGTCGCGCGCGGTGCGCCGGTCGACAGTCCGCGCAAAAGCTATTATATTTATTTATTTATTTATTTACTTTTTTTAGAAAAAATGACGGGGACAAAATTATCGACAGTACATAAGGGTTACATCCAAGAGGCCATAACTAAATCCTAATAATTTAACATTTTCTACACATACAACCAAAACCATTTCCATTTTTTCTTCTCTCTCTTTTTTTTTTTTTTTTCAATTAAAACACCAAAAGCTTAAAGAGAAACTCAGAACGCTACATACAGACTACAGTACATTAACCACACATTTATCATTTTCTATACATGGAGTTGTTTTCCTTCTTACATGCCTTATGAACAAGCCTTTTCGTCTACAACAATGTTGTGCTCATAGGATTTGCAAAGTAGTGAACTCGAGATATCAGCTTCGATTTTCTAAACCTGTCGCCAAGAAGGTTTCCGAGAATGGAAGGGGGCTGAGACGATGTCTTTTGTTGCATTTTGCGCGTGACTATGTGATTATCCAAAATCATTATCTCCAACAATCGTTTGCAGCTCTGCAAGGCATTGGCATTTAGTGTCAAGCAAACACATACAACAAATATAAAGGGGGCATCTTTTTTTTTTTTTTTTCTTAATGTCATTATATTTAGGCAAAAATGCATTTTTAGTCCCTTGGTTTAACGCCATAACAATTTTATAATTTTAGTCCCAAGGTTCCAACTCTTCGCCTTCTAGTCCTGTAATGTAATTTTTTGCTGCAATTTTAGTTCTTTGAGGACTGAAATTGCAAAAAAAAATTAAATTGAAGGACTAAAATTGCAACAAAATTTTAAATTACAAGACTTAAATTGCTAATAAAAAATTCATCCCAAAGATATAAATTTGGGAATTTGTTGCAATTTCAGTCGTACTGAATTGCAACAAAATATTAAATCACAAGACCAAAAGGCGAAATATTAGAATTTTTGGACTAAAATTGCTATGACGTTAAACCAGCAGGACATAAAAATGTAATTTAGCCTTTCTAAGCAAAGTTATTACCTATGGAACACAATAGACAAGATCAGTATCAACAGCAAAGGAGAAGCGAACACTAATGAAGTTCAAATTTTCCAGTACTTTTGTCAAATCATATTTATTCCTTTCTAATTTCAAAGAAATCTATTCATCTTTTGTCGTCAAGAAGCCGTTTAGTTCCATACCTGAGGATTTAGACCTTGCATATGTTTTATAATGTTATCCTGCAAATAAAGTTCAAAACGAGGAAGGTATCACAGTAATATATATTCGGCCAGACAAACGAAAAATAAAAGTAAATAATGTAATATGAGAAAAGCTGATTAAGGTACACAGCATGACGTCAAGGGAGAAGAAAAGGGAGGATATAATTCATAAATTTAGAATGCCCCTCTTCATTTGCTTCAATTGCCATATTATTTAAGTTAATAGAGATATTATCACCAACCATTAGTGCAAAACCTGATAAATTCAATGAAATTTCAGTGCTACTGAAAATATACAAATGCATAAAAAGACAGTATACCTCTAATATTCCCGGATTTTGCATTACGATACCAAGGACTCGACGTATGAGCCCCTTGTACACAGGTTCATTTATGGTACCATCTCCATTCATCCATGGTAACAGGGGCCGACATAACCGAGCATCTACAGAATGGAATCCAAAATCTTCAGTTCTAGTAATTATAGGAGAAGCCGAATCAGAGTGCTGGTAGCTCGTAATGTTATCCGTTGTCGATAAAACAGCAGAAGGGCCAGAAACATCTTCAAGCAGATTTAGAATTGTTACCCTATGCTCTTCATCGGCACTTGTGTTAATTTCATTCGCTAATGGAGAAACATACTCTCCTTGATTATCAAGATCAAGAGGTACACACTCATCCTCAAATTTTCTTTTCTGACGTTTAAGAAACATACCAACACGGCCACGTACAGAGCTCAAGAAATACTTGGATCGATATAAAGCATCCACCACGCGAAGGGAATCATAACCATTGACCTGTATTCAAGCATTGAAAAACAAATTAATATAAATCAAGCTCAGATCAGTAAACCCCCAATATATTAAAAAAAAAAAAAAAATACAAACAGACAAACAAACAAACCAAGTATTTGTATCGTTGGTAGGTGTTGTGCAAATGAAGTCAAAACATTTAAAATTTGGCTTCATCAACTCTTAATGCCAATAACTCAAATCTTGTAAAGTGCTCCAATAGTTACACTCGAGGACGGTGACATGGGGAAGAAACAATACCTTTAAAGTTCGTCCAAATGCTTCAAGAACCTCAATTATAAGTTCCAACATCTTCTCATCTGTGGAAGAAAAAAATTACATTTTCATATTATATTCCTTTAAAGGTCAATAAAATCAAATCACAAGTAAGAATAATAGCAAACCTTTAGTGTTCAAAACTTTGCGAACATTTTTCATGCTCAGACCATTGTCTCCAGATTTATGAATAGCGGAATAGAGGTTTTTGAATAAGTCTGGATTTAGAGTAGAACTTTCTCCTTCATAAGAGCGTGAAGATGTCAGATGTTCGGCATATCTGGTCATAGATTCCCATGGCGACTCACCCACATCAAGCACACGATGGGTTGTCCTACCAGAATCAAGCATTTCTCTCACATAATCAGCTATATCAGAATCAGATGCACCATAATTAGCATCCATTAGTATGCCTTGATTTTTTTCACCGAATAGTGGGACCCTGTGCACATCCTCGACTTTGAATGATTCACGCTGCAAGCATAATTTTATGCCGGGAAAACCTTTTTCCCGGCGAGAGGTCATCTCACCTTCCCCGGTAAAAGATGTTTTCAGTTTCTTAGATTTGTCTCCACTGTCCATCTCGTTATTGTCACATTTTCGTTTGGAAGCTCTGTTATCTTCTACCTCACCAACACCTTCGTCAGGCAAGCATGGAGTAATCGAAAGCTCGCTTGAAGATATTAAAGCGCACAAAGTGAAAACTTCACCACACTGAAGATCGGAAGGGACATCAATGCCTTCTTCCATTAAATCCTCTTCTCTTTCGTGAAGCCATGTGAGAAAATCAGCGGCTCTTTTTCCAGTATCATCTGGGAATGTGGATCGTGAGATACTATGCATGAAGTGCTGTGATAGCACGAAAGGAGTGTTTGAGCTACCACCAATCTGCCAAATGGAAAACAACTATGGTAAATTATTATCAGAACAAAAACAGTGGGACGGGATATTTTCTTCATGGACATTAAGAAACCAACATTAGATGGCATATGTGTACATGGTCGCATACTTTCAATGACGGGCTGAAATAGTACTTTGATACTGAACAATGGAAAATTAAAATTAAAGACATTGGATCCCTTCCCGTAAATCATGATATGTAATAGATCAAGTCTGTAATATACACACCCAGTTGCAGATCATAAAATTTATTTATATCATGCAGGGTAAAAAGCACGAGTGGTGCAAATGATATTATTTACCATGATCTTTTTCTCTCTCAAGTAGTTAAAAGCAGCAAAGAGATCATGCTCAGAATATCGACGTAGAGTTTCAGCCAGCAATATTGGCACTTCAGGGGCTTTAGAATTGCTTAGGAAGATTAACTTAAATAACTCTGCAGCATTTGCCACAGCAACTGATTCGTGCATCTGTCTGCAAACACTTCCATAGTCACTTGAAAGCTTCATATACTTTACAGGCGGCTTTCGCGATCTTGATCTTTGACCAGAAGCCATAGGCCTTTCACAACCCTCATTGTCCTGGAAATTAAAACGCTAATGAGATTTGTGACCGGTTTCATACGAAATAGTGCACATATGGTTGCAGCAGAAAAGTTATGTATAACTAGAAGCCACCCAATGCTTTCCAGAACCTAGAAGGACCTTTCTGAACAATAGAGAAAATGGTGTGTCTCAAAAGGACAACCTCCCTCAAGAAAAGTATGTTGTCAGGGGTAATATGTTGCCATATATGCTATTGGACACACAAAACCAAATGTCATTCTAATACACAGACTAAACATGAAATAGAATCATGCAATATAAGGAACTTACACTATCCTCACTATTTTCTTGGTCTGGAAAAGTATCCTGGGAAACCTCCAACTTAGCCATCCTTTTATGTCTCAAAATCTCATTTACCACTAACTTGATGACATCCTCATCAAAATTGGCCCATTCTTCAGACACTGTGGCGGAAGACTTTAAACGATTTTCTACAAGTGAAGGATCATTGGTCATCTTTATAAAATCCCCATCATCCAATATCTTATCATGACGTTGCGCAAGGTACTTTGAATAGCGCTCGGCAAGCATATTGCATAGTTTCATTACAGCTTTTCTAAATGGCATATAGCTATTCAAGACCGACATTCTTCTTTTGCAGGTATTAGGTGGCGCCGGAAGATTTGGAACTGATGCCCAATCTACACGGTGATATTTTGCCCCAAGAGCAGATCGGTATCTTGCATATTCAATCACCAATAGTCTGAGAGAAATTAGTCAATGTGGAAACATAAGAAGCGAATAAATCCTTGAGTATTAGAAAACTAAAATGAACGCCACACAATGGTAATCTAGTACAATGATGCATGCAAGAGTATATTATAGAGCATTTACATCTGATGTTTCAATCTAATGATTTTGTAGCAATATCACGAAACAGAAATTAGAGAAAAAGTCAGTTGCTTCTGCAGATAATATCTATGGATAGGTGTTTGAGCAACTAAGTATCACCTATCTGCCTCTTCTGTCCACAAAAACTTCTTCTTCTTATGTCCCATATTAAACTTTGCCGAGGCTTGCTTGTGAATGAAGGTATGGATCGTCTTATCGTCTTCGTTTAAGTATAGCACATCTGGCCCATCTGTCTTGTCATCAGCATCATATAGCTGCAAATGACAACCACAATCTTCAGGAATAGTTCATGCGAGGTGGTGTTGCAAAGTAACTTGGTTATGAGGAGTAATACCGGACTTAACCTCTCCAGACTTGATTCTCCAACTGCCAGGCTAGCCGTCACAAGCTTTGATGGAATTCTGCTGGAAGATCTTTTATTTTTACATGACAAAAAAGAATTTTTTTCTTTAAATGTCCCAGGCTTCTGATTCTCGGCAGCCAAATCTGTCTGAAGTCTAGTAAGCCGTTGCTGACTCTTGTCAGAATAGAACCGGAGGACCTACAACATCGTTAATTATATGATTCATGTGATAATTAACAAATGTGTTCAATTACTTAGGAGTCGAATGTTACTATCTGAATACCAATAATGATAGTCAGGTATATTCACAAATTCGCTGCGTGGCAGATAACTTCAATATATTGCATGAAGACTGCATAAGTTATCGAGATAGGAACTAACTAACGATCAAACTGAGCAGAAATTTCCAAGTTTTTGACTCAGCATAGTCAGTATTACATTGAGGAATATATTATAAATCTGAGCTTTCAACGAAAATCTGGATATTAGTAGGATAATAGCCTCCCTGTAATTTTACATATTTTATTGAGCGACATTCTGCTGGGGAAAAACAAGTATCAAAATACTAGTGATTTTATTAGTTATCCAACCTGCTGCAGGGTCAGATTAAGGTCCTTAGCAATCTTCTCACACTCACTGAATGAAAGTTTTTCCTTTGGGTCATCTTTCATGACACGCTTGTGTAGCTCCACCCGCTCGTCAGCCGTAATTACCCGGGAAGATGTCCACGATCGTGGATTAAATACCTGAACAATTATTACCCATTTTAGGAGAGCATTCAAACAAAACAAGGATCAAAAAGCAGATCAAGATCATACATTCCAATCTAAATTGCAATTCACATCGCCACATCGACTTCAACTCATGGAAAATGAGGCATGTCAGCACAGCCTTCAAATAAGTGACGCTTAAAAAATCTCAGACCTAATTTTCTATACTACTACAATTCAAAAACTAGCAATTCATAAACGATCGCATCAAGTTGATCCACTACGCAGCTCCCTTCTGAGCTATATAACAATATGTCAAGATAACAATCACAACCTACTGTCTCACTTCTATATAAAAAGGAGAACAAAAGGAAAACTCCACCACCTCATGGACTGCAGTTCCAGGGAATGCAAGCAAAGCAGCTCTTGATTTGGATGCAGAATAACAATACTCTAAGGTATTCCAGTATTCATCAACGGCTTTTCTGCTCGAAAGAACAAAATCATGCCTGATTCGAGGGCGTAGATCGTGCAAACAGAGACCAGTTGATGCAATTCCTGTGACTGGTTCCTCGATGTAAGGTTTGAGTTCTAATGCATGAGTGAGAGTCGTATGTGGATTGCTACCTCCATCTTCTGCATGGTCCTTACTCACTAGACGAATCAACTGTCCCAAAGTAAAATTTCACGTCAGATAAGAAACACAATTAAGAAAACCAGTATTTTGACAAAAAAGAGAAATCAAAGGATTAATGGAAATTTAAAAAGAAAAGTAGGAAAAGGGAATTTGGAGTTATTATTCAATGGAGCACTGTAACAAAGATGCCATTGGTTACTCCAATATTTCCTAATTTAATTGTGAGTGTCGATTTTACATTAAAATGGCATTTGTCAGTACCTTTGCTGAAAGTAACTTATTTTTAATTAGACATCTAAACTGAAATTAAATTTCGAATTAAAAAATAAAGCTTTTTATGGCTATTCTCGAGAAATCCAAAAGAGTGTCTACTAGCCTGAAGTACCCCACACCACCCCCACCAAAAGAAAAAACAAGTCCCTGCTATGACAATGTCAATTCGTGATATTTTCACTCTCCATCTTTCTTAATGAACTCTTTCACCTAAACGGTGGTTGACTTCATCTAGATAGATTTCCCAAACAGTTTGAAGAGTCACTCAATTTAAAATAGGCAACTCCTCCAAAAGGATTTCTACCAAACCTTTCAGTACAGGAAAAACTCAATCAGAATTCAATAACAATGAGATCTGAAACCAAACAGTACGTCATAAAATAAGCCCGGAAGTCCAAAAGAAAGAGCAACTACAAATAATACCTTCAGACGCCGCAATATATCGATTAGCCAAGATAGTCGTCCAGTTGCTCGAGTATCCATAAGGATCTTGTATTCCTCAACTGGAAGATCACAGAGTCGCATGCCACTTCTACATTTCCCAATCATATCCTCTAATGCTTGAGCAGAACCTACTACTTTTAAGAACAAAGCAAGTGGCATCGATCTAATGGCCAGATCTAACTCAAACAACTTGCAGGTACTGTGCGGGTTTTTCAAATCATTAGAATGATTACTAGACAATAAGGTGCCATCCCAACTAGAAGAACTGCGCATCTGATCCCAAAGAAAGACATGAAGAAGCTTTGTCCGAACCATTCTCGGAAGCACAAATCCATTACGCACAGCTTCAGATCGAAGTAATTGGGTATCTGACCTTATGCTATTTGGAATCCTCTCCACGTTGTCCAATACGGGAACCGATTGGCCCTTCTGCCGAGTATGTGCTTGCTTCCGCACTTGTATCTCGAATGACCTAATTTTATCGTGGATTTGCGCCAGTAATTCAGGGGAAACAGTTTGAAAAGAGGAGTGGAGGATCACTTCAACAGCTTTACTGCGGCCATAGTTCGTAACATCTGGGACACTCACATGGATGCATTTACAATGCCCTTCTCCCTGAAGTTTGTTCAGGCAACGCAATAAAGTCTTTCGGTCCATTGTTGTATTCTTTTCCTTCCCAAGATTCTCAAGACTCTCCAGACGTCTATGGAGCTCAGGTTTAATGAGGAACTTCTCCTCCTTCACACCAAAAGAGAAAGAAGGCAAAACTTAGCAAGAACCAATGGTAAAATAAGCCAACTAGCTGACTTAAAAAAAAAAAATATTTGAAGGTCGATGAGACAGACCTGCAACAATTTGAGTATGTTTTGTTCCCTCTGTGAGTTAGTTGCACCCATAGTAAGACGGGGATATCTTGGGTTTGATCGACGCCTGGAAGGTGTTGGGGTTGATGGTGGTGTAAGTGATACAACAGCAAGAGAACATGTTTCTACCATATTGTTGTTTACTGAGTTACGGGCAGGAAATAGTTCCTGATCAGGGACTCCACCGGATAGCTCCACACCAGAATTCTGTTGACTGCATTGTAGAAGCAGAGTGCTGGAACATTCACTATTCATGTTTGTGACATTAGAGGCATCCGCGATGTCAACTGCCTCCTTTTCACTTTTGTAGATACCTCCAACATTCTCCGTTGAAATAGAATCATCTATCACTTTCACAGGCTGAGACAAGTCCTCATGAGATTCAAGATCCAAACTACTTGGGCCAGATTCATTTACTTTAAGAGCTCTTTCTTCTTCTGCAGGAGCCATATTGGATGATCCTGGATTAAAATTACCAGCAGTCCAAAGTCGGTAGACCTCATTTCTATTGTGAGGTTCCAGCTGTAAATGCAATCCAAACCTGGAGATCATTTGCTTAAAATATCGCCTGTGGTACTCCTTACCGCATAGTCCAAGCCCTCTACATACCTGTTTAAACAGTGTTATGGATATCTGGACATTACTTACAAGAAATCCAAGCCACTATATATAGAATTGTACAAGTAACCAAAAGAAAAAAATGTCGATTCGCATCAAGGATTTAAACAGTCATTATACTAAATAGGAATATAAACTGCAAAAATTTACTGCAGCAGCACTTGAAAGAAATGATTTGAGGACTGAGTTAACCTCAGCAGAGAGATGCTGCAAACATATCCAGTTTGCAGTTTGCATATACGATTATCGTAGCAAGAACAGTCAAAATTCATGCAAGTAAAGGCTCTCAATTCATGACACGGTACAGGTGATTGATTTAGAATCATCAGGCTTCTGATCCTATGAACTCATGCAAGTATGACAGTTTGCAAGAACAGTCAGAATTCATGCAAGTAACAACTATAAATTCATGACACAGTACATGTGACTGATTTTGAGTCATCAGGCTCTGATCCTATAATTCATGCAAGTATGATAGTTTGCAAGAACAGACAAAATTCATGCAAGTAATGGCTCTCAATTCATGACACAGTACAGGTCTTTCATTAAGAGCCATCAGGCTTCTGATCCTATGATGTCATGCAAGTATAAAAGTTTGCAAAAAATAGACCACAAAATTGTATAAAAATGTGAAGCGGTGAAGCTCAAATTTGGATAGAGCTATAACCTTTCCTGCTGAATATCAATAGTATCTGAATTCTAAGGAAAATAGAAAGTGCACGACTGAATAAGACAATGCCTAACGGAAGCTTTCAAGATATGCATAAATGAAACAAGTATGTAAAGCAAGGGGTAAATGAAAGACCAAATATGTCCAAAAAGAAATGTGATTAGGATATAAAACAAAGAATCAAATTCCAGTAATTCATTGTATTTCTCTTATATTTTACTTCACAGAATTGTTATTACCTCTGTATTAGTCAACCCTTTTGCTCCCGCAGCATCAACCATGTCATATACCTGCCGGAGAAGGGGAAGTTCTAAAAGTTGTTCTGTAATTTGACCTCTTTTCATTGAAATTTTTGATTGCTCGGGATCTGTATCATCGTGCCCATGCCCATGAAGTTTTGGCTCGAAATATGATGGAGAAAGGCTGGAAATTAGGCGTAAACAATTGACTTCCTGAAAATGAAAGATACCAGCAATAAGTAAATGGAAAATATAGTTGTCATATGCGATAAGTGACTCGGACAATAATTCATCGCATAGCGCCTCACAACCTAGGCAACAAAAGCAATGCCAGGCCACCTACAGAAAGTAATTATGTTATCAAACAATAATCTACGATAGCAAACACCAATATCTATCATCAGGAAACAAGGGCACGAGCCACATACTCAACAATGTCAACAATACATAATCACAGGTGGCATTCTTCCATCGACTAAAAAATATGATGCCTAGGCAATATACTGTTGCCTCTGATCTAGGAAACTCTAATAGTGCTAAAGATAATTTTAACTCAAGCTGCATGTGATTTTTCACAAAAGCAATAAGTTTCGTAGATTCAACATTCATCCAACATTATTTCCAATAACTCCAATATATTGCAAATCATACTCCAGAACTACCTTGACAATGCAGTGGTAAAGCAAAATACTCCTCGCATATGAAATCTCAAAAAGAAAAATCCATAGATATGCAATTGGCAGCATAAATCAGTATTAATTTTATAAAGCTGCAAATATAGTAGCCAGAAACGTTTCAACTACAAAAAACTTTCACATATGACCAGTAATAACTGATCAATTGCATTGACCAATAAAAAACAACAAAAATAATATTGCAGAAGACTCCTTCCATGGAGGTCCAAAAAGGATCGGATGAGTCATAAATTTCATTTTTCTAATACATTGGCGTTAATACCTTCTTGTTGATTATTGTACAGCACTCTTCCACAACTCGTGCCACTTTCAACTTCTGGCATATCTGACATTAAAATTCATGTTCTTCCCAGGATGAGATCAATAAATTTACATTTCGAATGAGACCAAAAGGAAAGAAAGAAAGAAAGGAATGGAAAATAATAGGAAAAATACATTTCTCCAAGCTCGATGACCACAAGTCCCTCGATAACCAAGATCTTGTTTTATATCCGAAACAACCAGAACCTTCATCGGGAAAAGGTTAGAAAGTATTAGCTTGAACATATATAGCAAAAATAGGTAATACAGATACACATTCTAGTGATTACTAACCTTCCCCTGAGCGTTTTCAAGTTTATCACATATGGCCTTCATGGCAGGTAAAAAATCTCTGACATGTACATCCTCTTTTGATATTTCTTCACCAAGATCAGTACCAGTTTCTACGTGACCATCTTCTACGTTCCCATCCATCACAAGTTTATCCTCCTTAGTGATTTCAAGTCTCTGATGGTAACCAAGGTGCTTCCCATAACGGTATAGATACAGCATATTGGTGGCTGTAACAGACTCACTGTTTGGCTCTCTGTTGGATGGCTGTTTTGTTCGAATAACAGTTGGCTGCCTCACAATATATCCTTGGGTTTCAAGTCTCTTCAATGGGTAGAATAATTTGTTTGGTGCAATGTGTAATTCTTTTGAAAGATCACTTTGTGCAATTCCATTTGTCCTGAAATTATGTGCAACGGTCATTGATACTGCTTTTAAGCTTCCATTCTAAATGCACTTCTAGAATATATTTCAAAATGGCATCTGACACACTATCTTTATACCAACAAAAAAAAGCTATATGATCAAATGTCCACAGAGAAGGCTATATGATCGAATACCAACAAAACAGAAGATGAAAAAACTGAGCATTCAGTGAACCATTCGACAGACTCGGTTGATATCCTTGTTTATCCTCATTCATACCCAATAACAGTAGTGAACATGTGCATTTGATATTCTTTCATATTTGACGCCAGTTTATTATTCGTTAATTAACATTTTTTACCACTTATTAGGCATTACTTACAAAAAAATAAGCTCACTCCGTTTTAATATTACAGCTTGTTACATTTGCAACTATTATGAAATTCATTCACTTCGAATGGGTATTCATGATGTCCATTTATTTCTTCCGATAATGTATTTGAAATAGGTCTTCATGAACGTTAATGATAATTTTTATGAACAAGTTTGACTATAAAACAACCGCACACGAATAAGCCTTTCAAAAATAATAGATTAAACATGGCGTGTTTTTCAGGTTCTTCGGGCAACCAAATCATTGCGTTTAATATGCACAATGGCCCATGGAGAGACAGCGTAAAATAAACACTAACACCAGTTGTGGGAAGATTTGTCGAACTCACACGAGAGCGAATATACAATTTGAGGTGCTAAAAAAAAATGGCAGCAAGTCTACTAGGAAGAAGGCCTCCTTTTAAGATGAGTATCTAATTGATGTATACTGCTTTAGTCATCATCGATACAAACAAAGCTAGTTGATCTGTTCGTGATCAGAGTTTAATTTATACATTTCAACCTATTTATCAAAAAA